ACCAGCAAACCCACCTGAGAACACCACTTTCAAGGCAACAGAGTGCTGGCAAGACACCTTACAGTGCTGAGTGCCCAGGCTCATTTCTTCTCTGGCAGGATCATAAATAATGCTGTTATCTCTCCCAGTCTCCTTGGCAGGACCCCGTTTCCTGCAGCCCAGCATGCCCACGGCACATGGGCACAGCTGCCAGGAATGCTCCCGCAAGTCTGCAGCTGCACAGTCAAACACCATGTCTGCTCTGATCTTTCAGGGGAATTTTGAACCATGTCTTTTGCTCCTCCACTCCTGCTTTCAATCACTTGAGAATTATCAAGGATACTGGGAGATTGTCAAAGATGCTATGTTTCCATGTGTCTGCTGCAATGGAAGCAATTAAACAACGAAGGTCAAAAGGTGTCCCTGGAGGAGCTGAGCAGTAAGTTAAGGCTCTCCTATGAAGTCCAGGCTGGTCTTTAAAGCAGATGGTTATCGGGCTATTTCCAGACCGGCCAGGAACCACACAGTCCCCCTGGAAAGTCACAAAGGTGACTGCAGTCCGTCTTGAATGTTGAATGTTTCTGCAGATGGATGCTGAAAGAGGGCTGACAGAGTCACAGGTGACAGCCACAGACTGGATCTGGTCCAAAAGCATCAGCCTGAAAAGCATCTTCTGGCAGATGCAAAGATGGAGAAAGTCCAGCATACACAAAATCTCTCTGCTGAAGACAGATGAATCCATGCTATTTTGGTCAATATACTGATCTTAAGGGCAAGACATTTTGCCCCTGTACAAGGGGCCCCTAATAACCCTAGCTAGCCCTGCAGATGACAACCAGGAGCTGTCAACATTGGAGTAAAGTAACTTGGAATTAAGTCCTTCCAGAAGAAGGAAGTTCATAGCTTGACAAATTGTGTCCAGGATCTCTTCTCATATCCCTGAGAACGAAAAAGTGGGGATGTGTCACCCCACAGAGACAGGTGGCTTACTCTGGTGCTCCAAACAAGCCTGTGGTTCCTGCTAAGCCCTGTGCCCCACACTGATCCATTTCTTACCAGTTCACTACGCAGCTGCAACAGGCCATGTATGCCAATGCTGCCCATCAACAGGTTCCAGAACCTTGTCCCTGAACATTCTTGAGGGCTGATAACATCTCTGCCAGTTAGTCTGAGCACTGGCAGATGTGTTTTCATTAGGCACATTTCCAAGCTGTAAGATTTCCCATGTATACTGTGCAGAGACGGGAAAGTTTGGGCTCCAGCAAGGAAGTGGCATGTACAAGAAAATACCAAGCCTCACCTCTTCCACCAGCAAAATATGACCTTCATGATGTGCTCTGCACCAAGAAGCACTCACTGCACAAAGAGTCTTCAAATCACCAGTCTTGCTACAAGCAAATTCCCTTTTGGCAGCTTAGGAAAATGACTCTCTGCTTCTGTCATCTCCAAACCCTTGGACAGGGCCAGTCAATACCCTCTGATCAAACAGGATGACCAAGGATTAGTGATTAGTGTGAATCTGTCATCCATAGCCTAACTATGCCCCCACTTCTGCCTGAATTTAGAGGCATTGCTTGCAGAAAAAGTTCAGAGTAAAGTCATCCTTTCAGAGGGGTAGATTTCAGAGGTATTGCTCTGAGCTTTGCATTTGGAGCTGAGTCCTTAATAGTACTGCCCCAGCAAACCTCCATTTCCATTTTTAACTGCAGAAACATCTAGGCCAGAAACCTTGTGTGGTTTTAGGATGCAAGGACACTGCTAGCGAAGTTTGCTGGGTGCTTCAGTAGCACTTGCTGATGCAATCATACCTACGCTGCAGCTCCAAATGCAAAACAAACCTGTAGACACCTCGCACGGGGTCTAAACACTGCAAGCTGCTGCAGGAGCGTTATCACAGCTCCATCTGCCAAATCATCACACTGGAAAGCTGATGCCATACCTGCTTGGGCAGCATCTATTCACCAGCAGTAATGAACAGAAGCAAGGGTAGCAGAGCCCAGTCTCCCTCCCATATGTCACTGGGGACATCAACAACCAAACTAAACTGCTGATCTAGCAGAAATAAAAGAAGTCACAGCTCAGCTGCGTGGTCAGCACGGCTACTGCTAGCAAGGTGGCAAAGGCAAGACACCTCATAGCACTGTGCCTGGCTTCAAGCTACAGGAGCCCTGGCGTGGCCAAAGAAGTGTTGCAGTAGGCCAGGTGCAGCCAGAGTGTTGGGCTGGGGGTTCCTTCCTACACCAAAACCAGGCCAAGAGCTGCAGTGGGATTCACAGGGCAGCGCAGGTATCTCCACAGCTAGAATCCCTCAGCCTGTTGACTGGTTCGCCTGGCAGGAAGAGGGCAGCAGAGATGCAGAACTGTCTGCCACAGTGAAAACACTGCCCTGGAGAGACCTCCCCTATATCATTATTTCTTCCAATTTCCATGCCCCTGTAAAGCTCCGTGTGATCCAGTCACTCAGTTCCCTTGAGGCACCTTGCTCCCCCGGTTGAAAGCCCATCGAGTCGCATCATCACTCAGCTAACAGCCTCGCAGAGGTCACTGCTCTACTAAACCTGACCTCCTTAAGCGTCTTATCAGACGGCTAGTGTGCTAATTCCACTCTGCCCAGGCCGTGCACGTTCTGCTCTGACAAGCTAGTACATTAACTGACCTTAGCACTGTATTACCCAGATGGCACAAACTATACATAGTCTTTGGCATCCAGGGCTAATCGCACAGCATGCCGTGGTGCTGCTGGCTTGTTGCACTTCTTAGGGGTCTAGTCTCTTACCTGTGATGACACATCACTGAACCTGACTCCAAGCAGCAGCTAGCACAGCCCCAGGAACATCCCTTTCTCCTCCCGAGCTTTACAGGGGACGCGGAAGCAGCAAATGGCAACATCACACCTCTCCTCTGCTGATCACCAGGACAAAGTTGCATTAGGTCAGCTGTGAGAAATGACAAAATAAAAGAGCCTTCAGGATCGGGTAAGGCATGCGAGCAAACAGTGTGCTCTCCCACAGGGAGTCAGGATCTGCCGCTGCATCCGGCACGCAGAGTCCCAGCCCCAGCTCTCAGCTGGGGGGCAAATGGGAGCAGATCTCTGGCAGGAGGCCCTGTCCATCGCATCACCCACTGCACTGCGAGGCCACCTCACTCATCCTTGGTGTCTCCATGGACCAGCATAAGGGATCTCACACATCGGCCTCACAGCATTTTCCTGGCCCGCACAGTTTCTCTAATCCGGAAGCAATCCAGCTGCTTCTCTCCTCTCCCCTTGCTAGCACCAGCCTTCGTATGGACTGTGTTGTGAGCAAGGCCCAAACTCCAACCCCTCAGAAAATCAATTCATCGGAAGGAAAGGGAAATTATTTTTCAGATGGTTCAGCTCCTCGCCCAACAGCACAAATCTCTGCACAGAAGGGCACAGAACACGCATCTAAATGGGAATGGGCATCTCCTCTGACCCTTTCTCAACCTGCACATACACCAAATTTGTCAAGCAACTCTGGCCTCATTGCAATGTCTTCGGCAATTATGGGGCCAGCTGCCCACCTCCACTGGCCTCCTGGTCTCTGCAGCAAACAGGTGCTCAATACCCCCATTCTGAATCCTTAACCACCTTCTCTTCTTCCCTGCGCCGCACACACACACTCACACTTGTTCCACCTGGCTAAGGACCACATTTTATATCCCATACAATACCTCCATGATGTAAACTGAAAGGAAGGGACGGGGAAGCAGTCTCCAAACACACCACATGTCTAGTCCTAGCGAGACTGATGAAGTCAGCACTGATGCTCTTCTGCACTGTCACCAATGCACAGTCAGAGGAACACACAGAAGGGAACTGCAGCAGGGCCTGCATGAACACAGTTTGGTGTCTGCGAATAGGTTCGGTATTACTGATTGGAGAGGAACAAAAACAGATGATGTCTTTACCTTCCCCAAACTTGAAAAGTTTTGGAAAGCAAGTATGTTCATTTCTGAACATCCTAAGAGTACACACATTATTTTGTAAAAGGCCTTAGTGGAAAAAAAAAGAAAAAAAAAGTACTTTTATCACCTCAGGACTAACATCTTTGCTTCTCATCACGGATTTTCCTAAACTTTTCATAAAGCTTAGCCTAGAATACGATTCCTTTCTTCTTCCTCTAAAGCCCTGGATTACACACTTCCCCAGGCATTACTTGTAGCTTAACTCTGCAAATCTCTTTGAAACAGAATTTAGATAAGCAGCAGTCTAAAAATAAGTTCGTAATCCACCTGTGTGCAACAAAGTCTTCACCCTGAGCTACACAAAAAGTACTGCAAAAACCCATTCCAGCCCTTTCTGTCCAAATAATACCTTCCAAATAATGTGCAAACTTTTTATTATTATTATTCCTTTTTTTTTTAATTTAGGAAATCACATTTTAAAGAAGCTGAAGAGAAATCAGTTTCTTATGAAACGGAAGGATCTCCCACGTCACAGCCTTCTCTTCTTTGAGCAGGTGATGAGAAGGTTGTTTAAGCCTCAGCCTTTCCAGATATCAAAGCGCTCAGGAGCGCTGACACCAAGCAGTCTTAAAGACAATGGCTCAAATAAATACGAGATATCAAAGTCTTAACTAAACGGAAATTTTATCAGAAGTACAAACCGCAGAAAATAAGTAAAAATCACCAAAACATCACTCAGGAGAAACCTCTGTATGTTTGCATTCTACCAAGTTTATAAAGAAAATGTAACACTCTAAGTACTAACACACTAAGAAAACTTTTCCCAGTTCAGCCTTTTAGGGATAAATCTTATTCAGCTTCAGGAGATAAATTGCCAGGATCTCTTTGTACCTGCTCAGCGCAGGAACTTGAGCAGGAGTTCGGGCTTGGCAGAGCTCTGGTCAAAGCCCTTTTTTTTCTCTCCTCATCTGTTCAGTCACCCTCTGACCACGTGTTCTCCTTTCATTTCATCGGGAGGCTACATCCAACTTCAGGCTTGTTTATTACCCCGTGACTCCCCGAACCAGACTGATCTTGCGCTCTGCGGTTCGACTATGTGGTTGCAGATGGTAAGAGCAGAGCGGAAAACTCCGCAGCTTCCCCAACAACCGCATCATTTAGGTCTTCTTCCCATAGCGGCACTCCTCCTCTTTGTAAAGTTATACCTAAGACATAAACTTTTGTCTTATAAAATATCCAAGGCTGTTTTTTTTAAAAGCTGACCAATGCTGGTAGACACCCCATTGCTACTTTCACATAGCCTTCCCTTTGCGGTAGGACCAGGCTTTTCTTTTTTACTGAACATTAGTACAGCGCTCACCACAACATGCTCCAGCTAGACCCCAGACCCAGCACACCTAGCACACCTATCCCTGCTGGGTTTGCTATACATTTTTCCCCCCTTTCCACTGTCTTTTCAGAGCAGCAGACCTTTGGGATATCTGCCAAGGCCACTCCGTGGAGCCAAAAAACTGCCCCCCGTGCCCGCTGCCCTGTCCCACCATCTCCGGCCCTACCCCAGGCTGCCCCTGCCCCGGGAGGCCTCTCGCCTCCTCTCCGGTCCCGCTACGGCGCGGGGAAAGCGGGATTCGGGCAGTGCCCCGCTAGGCAACATGGCAGCGCCTCGGTAGAAATGGCGCCCACCAAGTTCACGTGAGGAGGGGAGGGTCTGTCGATCATGTGATCCCGCCACCTCGGGCGTCACGTGACCGTTTGTGCCGGTGCTCCCACGCGGGAGCAGGCGC